GGCTCAATAAAAATATCTCGAAAGAGAAATTTGAAAAATTCTTGTGTTTTCACTTAGATATCCCTTATCGTCTATAACTAGACAGACTGTAAATTGTGCTGTTTCTGAAATATGTGCATGTATAAATTTTTTTTATTGTTAATGGCATAAGTGACCTCTGCAAATGAATCTGAATTAAAGAAGAAAAAGAAAAAAAAACACTTTTTCCTGGAAGTGTTCGTTCATTAAACACGAAAAGGATGCGCATAATAACACTGTGTATAATTTGAGGTTGAAATCGCCTTTATTATGTTATTCGCAAATCTAAAACGGAAATGCCATTTACTGCGAAGCAAAAAAGGAAACATAGCAAAATGGAACAAAAACCAGATAGTACCTGCCACTCATTGGTTTTGGTCATACTTTACCTGTATGTGGTTGGGGATAGAGGTGAGCATTGCTTTGTTGCTCTGCTGTTGTCGTAGTCACCCGGAAAATGCAAACATTTGCAAAACAAATGGTATAAGACAACACAAAAGCTTCAATGTTCCGAGCAAAATATCGAAATGGGCCATAGATATAATGGCAGATATTTCATTTCATTCATAAATATTACGATCGATATTTGCATGGGTGAGTGCGAAGCTTTCCGTTGGATATATGAGTAAGCAATCGATTCGTTGGGCGCCATCAACGCTCCCTAAATTATTCACCGTACATTTGCATTTCATTCGCAAAATGTCTGTGTACCATTCATTCGGTCACGATACGTTCCATCGCCATTTGCCTGAGGTTATGTAAGAGAAAGAGAAAAAAATGAAAAAGAGTAGCATTAAATGAAATGACTATGACATTTAACTCATTCTACAATACTTTTTCTCTCTCTCCCTCTGGCTTATCTTTGGTGCAAATATACTTTTGCTGGGTTCACAGGGTTCGCTGTAAAAAAAGGCAACTGTTTATGTCCGAAATATGCATGGCAAAGTATAGAGATGGTATATGGTGTATCTGAAAAATAGGAACAATATAGCGATTTTTTTTGCATATATTCATCATGTGTATGACATTATATAATCACACTGGCTTGACAACAACATGTATGTAGTGTCCATCGCCTAATAATTGCTAGGGGATAATCAAATGGTTGAAATGCAATTCGAGTGCGATAATTGGCATATCCAACAACTTTGCAATTACCTACATAAACAGATGAATTGACGTCAGTACTCACCTCAGTCAAGCGTTTTTCGATTCCAGAGGCCCGTTTATTTGTCTGAACAAAATGGACTCTGCCCATATAGTCACAAAGCAATGGAGCCATAAAGTGTGAAATGTCTTGCATCCATTTAGAATTGTCATTTTCGGGAAGGGAATTTGATGTGAATGTGTGTATGGCCCCAGAGTGCTTACACGAATGGTGTACGACAGTCGAAAGCCACTGGCCAAATAACGAGTAATTTTGTGAATATACTTGAACAATGTTAACATGAACGAGAGAAATGGCTTGGATGGAATTCGTAGAAAATGTAAAAATTTACGAATAATTCGCTTCTTGTTCAACACGGTGGTCACAGTGCCAAGCTGGTCGTTGAAGTAAATAGATGGGCATGTGAACGACACCACTCCCAAATGGACTGGACATTGAGCCATTGCAAAAGACGTATGCTGCTATAACTTTCAACCAAGTATTGTGTAGAAAAGAGCGGTAGCTAAGCGCAAAATTCTGTTTTGGCAATTTTCCGTCATTGTGTTGTTATTGCGCTGTTAATTCATCTCGTCTAAAATTCATGACATATTTTTCGGTGCATTCTACAGATAATAGTTTTCAATGGCGAATGGGCTGGTCGTTGTTCCTGTTTTGTTGTCTCTTGCCGCTTTTATCTCGTTCGGTGCTATGCTCACAGGGTTATTTGTTCGCATGCCAATGCTTTTTTGTGCCAGCTTGCCACTAAAAACGGCAGCAATGGGCATATGCCAAAATTTGAATTCTGCTTGCTTTCGCTTACATTTTTTGAACTTTTTCCCGAATTCTTTTTCCATGACAGTGTAACAAAAAAAATGTACAACTAAATCGTGATCAAATGCAAAAGATAACATTTTTGGTTTTTTGGAGTTCCTCCGTGCTGCTGACGTCAAAGGTCTATTTAAAATCAGCCGTAAGTTGAAGCACACAATTCAAATTGTATCGAATAAAGAGCGCCTCGTGAAATGTGTATAGGGAAAAAATTGACTGATGTACACAGGCACATACACATACAATAAGAGAAGGAAACTTAATCAAATTTCATAACAACAATAACAAGATGCTGAATAAATGGGAAAATATTTTATAACAGCGTTGAATTGAGATATCAATTATTTATCAGCGCAACAGTTCACTCTGTATTCATGTTTGAATGACTGACTCTTATTCGCTTTAAGCAGAAACTCAAAGCGCTCGACGGCGACGGCGACGACGATGAAGAGTGGAACCCAGAATGCTAAATGAACGCAATGCTACATGAAAACTTGAACACTTGAAATTGTGTGCACGTTCCGATTGGTTTTTATTCACGAAAAAATGAAATGTTGGTACGATGAAAAAACCGAAGGAAAAAATTATGGCAAAACCGGTCGGGAACAATCTTATTGCTTACGTCAGACAAGTTTCGGTGGCTCATGCCGAAAACTGTCTGACGCAGCGCTTCAAAATAGCAAGCGCTTAAATGAAAAATGAGTCGAAATTCTACCAGGAGAAAAATAAAGTGGAAATGAATAGCAATTTGATCTGTATAGCCATTTTTTTTCCTTCGCATTGAATGGCTTCCCATTTTTCTGTGCTCAACCAACGACCTTTTATTATATATTTCACTGCACTGTGCAATGGTATTATCCCGCTTTTACCATCCGCGCGATTGCATGCATACTTATTTTTCAATCTGTGTTCCATAACAATGGAATGAATATTGTTTCCATGAAGTTTTATTCGCATTTTCATCGAATCTTAAATCAGTGTTAATCTTTTTATTGTTTATTTTCATTATTGCATCGCCAAAACTCAAGTGAATAATGAATCTTAATGCAGTCATTCATTTCCGACCATCTTTTTACCCACAAGTTTTCTTTCATTTCTGCATTCAACATCCATGAGGTGAAAATTACACGATTCACCGTTCCAGATTAAGTGCTATACGTATACATGGCGATGTTCGACGATAAAAGTTTGCAATGAATTTCTTAAAAATGTGATGCGTCGATTGCTTTTGAGTGAATGATATTGAATTATTAAAAGTTCAAGTAATTACTCTTTTCACGTTGAAACAGTTTCCTTTTTAATTAAAGTGCAAGTGCGCGAATGATTTCATTATCTCTTTTCCATTTTAATGTTTCATAAGCTGAACTCGACTTTTCATTACTTCAATGATTCCTCTTTGCTCAATATTAGTTTTATTTTGAACCTCAATCCATCCATTTTTGATGATTGTCTATTGAAGAGCTTTAATATCTTGATTGAAGTTGTTCAATAGTTTTAATAACTTTTTTAAAACATAAGCATTGGAAGAAATTCTCGTGGGAAACCATCGACAGCACATTTTTCAAACTTTAACGTAAGGGATTTTGTGATTGAAAAAGTCTCGACTGAAAGCTGAATCTTTTCATGCTAACAACAACATTTCAGTCAATTGAACCGTTTCGATTCCGGGTCAAAAGATTGATATCGGATTTTCAATTGCGTTTTTTTTTCTTCATATTTCTGACATGCTTTGTTAAATGCACAAAAAGGTAACAGGTGACATTGTTTATGTACATAAATTCTGTACGCAACAAAGAAAATGGTGACTATAGCCACCCCAAATGTATTTGCATATTGAAAGTCAGCGAAGAAATTATTAAATTCTGGGAATAAACAACACAAAAACGGTTTCGAATATCCAAAATGGAAAATTACTTCGTTACAATATATAATGTATTTTTTGCTGGTTATATGGCTACATTCGTATGGAGTGCTTCGTTCGAAATAATTTCAATTTTTATTAAAATATTCCGTGTACTCAGTGAATTTGCATTCTGGTACAGGCATTTTCAATGATATTTTCAATTAATACCTGGAACAAATGTTATTTTTGAAAGAAGGAATTTTCGTTCAAATTCCTTGGATATTTCGAATGAGGGAAATGCATTCATTTTACTACCTCCCAATTGTTATGTGTACCAACACCGTATACATAACGGTAGACACAGTTTTTTTTGTTTTGCGTAATAAGCATTTGTTCTTCAAACGATGCGTTGCATATTAACCCATTCAAAGTTGGTGACAACGCATCGAAGGATCTTTTGAAGAAAAAAAAAGCGTATTGAAACAAGAACGGTACCATATCAAAACGTCGCTTGAAGTGGGCTAATACTTACCTAATATTGGTAATCGATTTATTTATTGGAGAGATATTGTTTAATTGCAAGTGAACAAAATTGTGATGTATTTTATATACAAACTGAAAGGGACTCAGGTATTTAGGTGCTTGGCCAAGGAAGTGTTGTAGCCGAAAAACAAGAAAAGACATAATTCATTGGCCAAATTTTATCTAGGTCTAACATATTTGGGTATGTAAAATGTTTCAATCCAATTTGTTGATTGTATGTTTTGGTACAGCAGAACATGCACTTTCAATATTTTTCTTGCGATGACAATCTTCCATTTGCTGAACACAATTTAATTTTCAATGGTCTCTATGATGAAAATGGTCGAACGTCATCTGCATATCGGTTTGTATAGGCTGGTTGACCTCAAAAGGAAACCATACAACGGGGTTTGGGTGTACAAATTTCATTACCGAGATTAAATTGATTCTACTTCGGCTGAACTATCAACAGATGTTTGTTTGGGTTTCAAATCAACCAGTTTTCGTGGGGTAAAAACTTTGTCAATCGCTCGAATATTTTTCTCGTGTGTTGATGAAGCTTTTGGGCTCATATGTCACCAGTATTATGTCATGCTTTTTTCCCATATGCTAAAATCGAATTGATCTGGTTTTTATTTGCAGAAACTCCATTATGGCTCCTGCTTCAGGTGGCGCCGATACGTAATGAACGGGACCTGGTTGTGCTGCTACTGCTAACGTTTCGTGATATAACCGCCTTCAAGCAGTTGATTGACGCGGATGACACAAAAAGTGGTAATTTCCGATTGCAAACACTGGCCCAACAACAAATGAAAATTTGAACGGATTTTTCTATCTCTTTCTCTTTCCGTGCGTTGGCGTAGGTTTATCAAAATTCGCAAAATTGGCACGGTCGGTAACACGTAGTCGTCAATTCAATGCAGGCATTCAAAACATAAAGGACCCATCAAAACAATCGAATTTGGCACAAGTGAGAATCGAATAAATTTTCCATTTCACACCAACAACCATATTTTATGTTTTCTTTTTTTGTAGATGATGTCATTAACCGCTGATATTTTGCCACAATATCGACAAGGTACTGTTTGATTATATACAGAAAATCCACTTGGATTAACCAATGCGTATCTTATTATTTTCTTAACAGAAGCACCAAAGACACCGCCACATATTTTATTGCACTATTGTGCATTCAAAGCAATTTGGGATTGGGTGATATTATGCTTAACTTTTTATACCGCCATCATGGTAAATCCACACAGTTTCAAATCGTTGAATGAAATCATCATGGCGATTTAATTGATCATTTTTGTTTGCAGGTACCATATAATGTAGCCTTTAAAAATAAAACCTCAGAGGATGTTTCTCTTTTAGTAGTGGATTCTATAGTAGATGTAATTTTCTTCATAGACATTGGTATGGTTCTTTTATATTGTTTGCAAACTTTAACGATACGAATGTTGAACCAGAATTCATTTCGAACACGTGTAACTTGTTGCCGCTGCTCTTTATTTCCTTTTTTAGTTTTAAATTTTCACACAACGTTCGTTGGTGCTGGTGGCGAGGTTGTTAGTGATCCAAAAGTAATTCGAATGAACTATCTCAAGTCTTGGTTTATCATTGATTTGCTCAGCTGTTTGCCTTATGATGTTTTCAATGCTTTTGACCACGATGAAGACGTAAGATGATCCGTAGCCAATAAGAAAATTGCGAAGAAAGAGCAAAACCAGATCGAAATCTAATAAATTCAATTTAATTTTTCGTACAGGGAATTGGCTCTTTGTTCAGTGCACTTAAAGTAGTTCGATTGCTTCGTTTAGGTCGTGTTGTACGAAAATTGGATAGATATTTGGAATATGGAGCAGCTATGTTGATATTACTACTTTGCTTCTATATGTTGGTCGCTCATTGGCTGGCATGCATTTGGTATTCAATTGGTCGCAGCGATGCTGAGAATGGCGTAAGTAAAATCCAAAATGGTCTTGTGCGTATGTTTTATGTATCGGTAATTTGTGAAACGCAACGCCTCGGGGAAATTCAGAATTGCGTCATTTGGACAATGTCCACCATATGTTTATAGCTCATATACTACAAAACATACATGGTATTTTACCTGAAACGGTTGACCAGCTCAACCATTCCATATACATGTATGTAGTCGGGTCAAGCCAATATATTCTCGAATTATCAGCAGGGAACAATGATCCATTCCAAAAATGCTTAACAATATGTTTCATCTTTTTTGACACGTTTAATTTAGGCTTGTTTCGAATTTTTGTTGTGTCCTTTTGTTTGCAGGTTCAGTACAGCTGGCTATGGAAATTGGCGAATGTGACACAGTCCCCTTATTCGTACGTTTGGATGAATGACACAAACACGCCTGAGATCATCAACGGTCCGAGCAAAAAAACTATGTACGTGACAGCGTTGTACTTCACAATGACATGTATGACTGTAAGTAACCCGTTTATCCGTTTCATTTAAATCCACTCGCACGCGTGCAAAAAAATGATTTTTTCTCAGCTTCGCACCCGGCCACTGTCTCAATTCACATTCCATTAATCATAACTTCTCTCTTTCTGTTTGTCTCTCTCTCTCTCTTTTATTTATTGACCACTTGCTCATTGGATTACAACAAAATAGTCGGTATGTATTACAAACTCAGTGTTCACTGTTCAGTGTTCAGTGTGTTATTTGTGAATGAAAGCAGAGACTCAATTAATTGATTCGAAGCAATACCAAGCAAAAATTGTTTAAACGATTGCCCTAAAAAATGGAGTCGTTCGCAATAAAAACTGCATATCGAATAGCCAAACCGTCCAGCCCGATTGTTATTGTGATTGCGTTACGTCATATTGTGTGCACTGTGCATTCATTCCCATTTTAGTTTTGTGGCAGCAAACATGCGTTCCGTTTGAATCCACTTTTTGTAATTGGAAATCGTATTTGTTATTTTCGATGACGTAGATTTATGTATCGTTTTTCAGTTTTTACAAATGCTCATATGAATTCAACTATTTTTATTTTTTTTTGGTTCCTTTGAATTCTATTTTAGGCGTGATTTTAATTTGAAATATTTTCCCTCCATTTTTATATTTTTTGCGATTTCCTAAATTTAAAATTTTTCATCGAATTTGAGTGAATTTTTTCAAAAGAAAAAAAAAAACTTTGTACTCAATTCAAAATAAATCATACAAATTTTCTTGATTCCTCACGACTAATTCGCGACTTTATAGGTGGGCTTCGGAAATGTTGCGGCAGAAACCGATAACGAACGAGTTTTCACCATTTGTATGATGATCATAGCAGGTACTTTTTGAAAAATAATTTTATTTTTTTTAGCCCAAACTCCATTGATTTGCCGAATGAAAATCTATGGGTGATGTCTTTTGGCACAATTGGTTCAACATTCCCGAGGAAAACCAAGTTGATAAATATCTCTCAAGTAAACTCAAACAATTACCGTAAAAGCTTTCGTGGCTAAATTAATCGTGAAACATGGATCCGGCTACGTGATTTTGCTTCAAAGTACCATAATCCTTCCCTACCCTCAAACACAAAATAGAAGAAATAAATTATACAAAAGAGTTTTTCATAGCAAATCGATCCACATAAAACTAAAGAAATATACCACATAAGCAGCAAATGATGAATTGACTCGAGAGTGAGTGAGGCATGTTGCGACATGATGTAGCGTTTGTTTTAAATGTGTGCGAACATGACCAAATAATCAAACCCTCATTGACTTGAAAAACGTAGAACAAAACGATTAACCGTAAAATGACCCACAATTAAGATGATGAATGAATCCTTGTAGAGAGATTAACCTATACAAAGCAAAAGAAATAAATATACAAAATGTAGAAAGAAAAAATCTGGACAATTGGCGGAGAGATTAATCAAAATTCTAAATTTCCACAGCTTTACTTTACGCTACCATTTTCGGTCATGTCACTACGATTATCCAGCAAATGACTTCAGCAACTGCAAAATACCACGGTAAAAATTCTTCAAATAAGTAAAAAGCGACATAAAAAAAATCCCAAAATCTATTGATTCATTACAGATATGCTCAATAATGTGCGCGAATTTATGAAATTGCATGAGGTACCAAAAGCATTGAGCGAACGTGTTATGGATTATGTTGTTTCGACGTGGGCAATGACAAAAGGGTTGGACACGGAAAAGGTGGTAATTTGCAAGCTTTGCAAAACTTTATGCTTTTTTCTCATCGCAATTTCCGCCATCGAGCTGCATCAGATTCTAATTTATGTCTCTCACAATTTCGTAGGTGTTGACATACTGTCCGAAAGATATGAAAGCGGACATTTGCGTTCATCTAAATCGGAAAGTATTCAACGAACATCCTGCATTTCGGTTGGCTTCGGACGGGTGTCTACGTCAATTGGCTGTACATTTCATGATGTCACACTCTGCACCGGGTGACCTTTTATTTCACACCGGTGAAAGTCTTGACAGTCTATGTTTCATTGTTACCGGAAGTTTGGAAGTGATTCAAGACGATGAAGTTGTCGCTATTTTGGGTAAGTATCACCATCAAACATACATACAGAACAAACACAAATCAACATTCGTTTGCGTTCACTGCAATAAAAATAGGAAAAGGCGATGTGTTTGGTGATCAATTTTGGAACAACCTGACAATTGGTCAAAGTGCCGCCAATGTGCGTGCATTAACATATTGCGATTTGCATACAATCAAACGTGAAAATTTACTCAAAGTGTTGGAATTTTACAAGTCATTTGCACCGAGTTTTGATAGAAACCTAACTCTGACCTACAATTTACGGCATCGCATTGTGTTTCGCAAAGTGGCCGATGTGAAGCGAGAAAAGGAATTGGCCGAACGAACAAAAGACGAACCACAAGTGACAGCCAACCAAGATCATATCGCTCGAAAGATTTTAAACAAACTCCGACGACAACCGACCACGCAAGGTTCCCGAGATAGTGCGTCCCAAAGTGACGCCGAAAAGGGGGAAACACAAACTGAACGAACGAAAGTAAGTGTCCTTCCAACAGTGTATGTTAAATGTTAGCACGCTATCCTAGTCAAATTGCTTCTAGTGCTTCATATTTATCGAATGAATATTTCAAGTATTTACACGGCAGAAATTTGTTCGTATGGTGTTTTAGATAGATGTGTATGTATGTTTGTGCAATGTGCACTGTGCATGTGTAAGGGAGATGGTCTAGTTATGAGACGGGTTTTGTTTTAGATTTAAAAAAAATTCTGTGGCTTCCAAAAATGGAAAGTTAGAGTTCTATCATGTAGCTTATGTCCAGTTACTCGAAAAAAAATTTTGACCAATTTTGTGAGGACTATTTTTTTGGCCCCAAAAAAATTTTGGTCCAGTTATGAGACACCCAGAAAAATTGGATACAAGTGGATAAATATGAAAGGAAATCATCATAAAATGTTCAAATATTATTCTTTATTTATTATAAAGGCCTTCAATGGCTAAAATAAAGAAAATGGGTCCTTTAATGGCCTTACATGACAAGGAAATAACAATTTTCATTCATCATCATCATCGAAATCCTCGTCTTCTTCTTGTTCCATGTCACTGTCGCAGTGTTTGAAAGTAAAGAAGCTTGCACGCATGTCAGCGCATTTCAAGTGAACTGGCCGTTTGCTTACGTTGCATTGGATGGAATTTTCAGCGGTCAATTTGTTTGGTAACAGCGTCAAACAAATGATGCAGAAGTCCGTGTCTTCATCGGACGGTGGTGATTTTTCAGTTCTACTTTCAACTCTTTTATGCTCAGGCCATAATAATGATTGACGCATTTTATGATATAATCAACGAGGTCTCTTTCTCGATCGAGAGAGAAAACCTGCCAAAAATGAAGAAAAATTATTTTCCATCATTGAAAAGAGTGTTAGAATAAAAAAAAACACATTATAAAACACTTACCATGTTTGATGGAGTGCGTGTACCAGAACCACGGATGAATTCCATCAAAACGTCATCTGTCACTGTTGCAATATCATCAAAATTTTCTGCAACTTTCTTCACGTAGCGCTGTAAGGTGCTCTTATCTATTCCATGTTCTTGAGCAGTCCTTCGAATACCTTTCTTCTCAACTATACATAATTTAATGGCTTGCAACAGCGCATCAAAATTTTCGATCACCTTATTTCGACTAGGCGTAGCCCTTTTTGGAGGAGACATGGCTGAAAATCCGAGAATATTAGTTAAAATACAATTGTAATTGCATATAAATGCGTTTTGACAACAAAAATGACGAAATATGACGTTTCTATACGCTTTCAGTGCAAAATCTAGAGTGTCTCATAACTGGGCAACACGGTGTCTCATAACCGGATCGAGACGCCATTTTGAACATTACTCACAAAAAAATTTCCACAACACATAATCGAACAATCCGAACTAGAATCTCAAAATATAATCAAAATACAACATTTTAATGCATTACACTCACCTTTTTAACTTGATTTTCACAAAAAATTGGCACTATGAAAAATATTCCAAATCCTTTTTTCACACGATTTTCAACACGATGTTTGGTGCGTATACAAGCAATGCGTCTATTCACTTCGGTTTTCGTCTAAAAACTGGCGGACATCAAATAAAGAACATTGACAGTTCTCATACCAACATTTCCATAGCGTATGACAGAAATAATTGACTGTCTCATAACTGGCGCTGTCTCATAACTAGACCATCTCCCTTATAGAAAAGTGAGGAAAAGGAGCATACGGTGGCGATTAATCAATGTCATTTTTGTGTCAATTGTGTCTTTTCTCTTCATTTCTTTTGTTTTAATTTTGAATTTTTCTTTAGCTTCCCGCCAAATTAACACTCACAGAAGATTCACGTATCATTCAAAGTTCAGCTCAATCACCATGTCCATCTCCATCTCCGGCGGCATCTGGACCACCATCGGCGCGTGGTACAGGCGCCAGCAAATGGGGCCGCATTTTAGGTAGTTCTAGTGTTGATTCGGCTAGTGATACATATACGAAAGTAGCTGTGTCGAGAAGTTTCAGTGCAAGAGAAAGTCTACGCGACACTAGTAGTTCGAGTAGTAATGGTGGCCAAGGGAACAAAGTAACGTAGATTTTTATTTCATTCTTTTTTTATTCTTCATTTGCAATAATGATTGGCAAACGTTATAATTCAATTAGACGAGACTCGAGGGTCATCGAAACTGGGTGAATTAATATTATCGATTCTCGCACAAAATAGGTATTTCCAAAGTCACAAAAACTGATGCCGACGCCGGCCTCATTGGCAAGACAAGATACTATCGACGAAACAACCGAAGATTCGAAGTCGTTGCGAAGGCAAGCGTTTGAGCGGCAAGTGAGCGAGCGAGATAATGGTATACAGCATGATCAACTCGAAAAAGCTTCTTCCATTGAACGCGAATTGATTGCAGCAAGAACGATGTCAGTCGCAGAAACATATGATAATGGTTTGCGTGAACAGGCCAGCACATTGGCTCAACGAGATTTAATCGCTACCGTTCTTGATTTGAAAGTCGATTCAAGGCTGGAAATGCAGCGAATGTCACAGCGTATTGGCCGATTAGAAGATCTTCTCACCGAATTAGTTAAGCGTTTATCGAACGATTCGTCCGACTTGAGCACTCCGGCTGATGAGAACATTCCAACGATAACCACGACATTTGTTGGTTCGCCAACGATGGCCTTAACACCACAATCAACTAATATCATCGTCACTACTACTGCCAGCACATCAGCAACTGGTCTGATATCCGGCATTCCAACGATACAGCAATCATCGTCAGCGGGTAAATTTGTTTGTTTGTTTTTTTGGATTAAAGTATTTTAGAATGAAAAATGTTACTTATAGTCTCATCTTGACCTATTTCGTTTACAATAGGGCTGGGGCCACTTTTGTTGCGAAAACGACGCTCAAAAAGTCGTCGAGCGCCTGCTCCACCAACACGTCCGGCTGCCACCGGTACGACCGCTGAACAAGCTCGGTTGCTTGATGAAGCTGAAGCAACTGCAAGTACATCAACACCAACAACATCGGCCGCAGGTAGAGATCAATAACTTTGTGCATTAAAAAAAAACCGTTGATTCAAATGCCAATTGACGGTTTTCCTGTGTTTAATTTTAGCACGGAGACGTGATTTTCTATAGCCAAAAATTTTGATACGTCATCAATCGGATCAAGATCCAAGCGATCAGTAATGCATTTTGCATGTCAAACGATTTAAATCGAATTTGATATGCGTTTTGTGGATGAATGCACCGTTTGGTTGACGTACATCAAATACGACATATACACAAATAAGACAGACAAACACATACATTTTGGAGAAGAAATTCAAGACGGTCCTACATTTTACTATTGTACACAGAAAATTGAAGAGCGAGTGATTTGTATTTAAATTCATGTGAAAAACATTATTTTAACCCGCAGCAAACATAGAAATCGGCACCTAAACACACAAACCACAACACCTAACCGTAATCAATTCATGTGTATTTTAATCTGATGCTGAGTGTAGATAACTTTGAATGTCTCATTGTTAACGATTTTCACTGCATTTATTTATTATTCACATCACATCACACATAGTAAGCTGCATTAATAATTGACTAAGAGACAAATATTGATCAAATTCGTACTATTATTCGTTAGGATAACCGCTAAAATGAAGTAAGTAATGGCACATGAATCCAAATGCTGCATGCATCGCAAAACCAATTACATGCAAAAACTAATCTATCGATAAGCATAGTTATACATACAGAAAATTACTCGCGCTGACTACTCTCTACTTTGACTATCATCATCACATCATCACAATATTACATTTCGAATCAATTCAAGCGAGCTTTTCCAAATACACATACATACACACACCAGACACATTCTAACCGCATGAATAAGATTAAAGATGAGATAGGGAATTGAATAAAATTAATTTCGTTTACGATCGAGCACATAACAAATTGTATTCGTAAGGATACTAGAAGAGACTTTCACATTTCAATGAATTCTAAGTCCAGCTGTACTAGCATCAATTGAATCAACTGAGGTAAGAACATTTTACCTTGAGATAATTCAAACAAGCAATAAATAAATTCTATTTGAAACATTTGGCCTTTCTAGCCTATTCAATTTTCAATGATAAAATTTGCATCTCCGGTTCATCAAATCTAATCAAATCAATCCAATATATAGTTGCTATTAGAACATTGGAACTCAAATTTTGTAATTGATTGAATTTGCATTTCGAAATTCTAGAGACAAAAAACTTAAACCAAACTGAAACATAAATGACAAATTTCTTCTCGAAGAACTCTCAATCAAAAATTAAACGACCAAAACTGAAAATAGGGGATCATGTGAAATGATTCAAATTTAGGAGTGAAAAATACATCATATAATCATATAGATATTTTTGAGGCTGTGCACTATTTGTAACAAGATGATGCGCCCATTTGTATGTCCAATGAATCCCACGGTAATGAGATTAGCCTATTGAAAAGAACAAAATCATTTTCTTCACATTCATTCCATTCCCATCACTGTAAGTCAACGCGTGGTGATGATGGTGCGAAGGGCACATTATTTTGTCACAAGAACTGTGCATCGAATTGAAAGAAGAAACTAAAACAGGTTGTATAAATAGGTCATAGTAAACGAGCCAATGAAACTTCTAAACAACTGAACAATCGGACGTCACACATCACTTTGTAAATAAAATGGATGAGTTCATTTAACATACCAAATAAGCTGTTACTAACAATAATTCAAAACTAGAAGTGGAATTCACATCAAAAGTAAAAAAAAAGGAATAGCTTTAGTCAGTAAAACTCAGTCAATGACAGATAGTTGATGATATATGCTGAGCATAGAAACTCAGCAAGATTGGGATATTTTGACTTTGTGACGTGCTATTCAAACAAATTTATGATGGAGGGGAGTTTGGAGCACATTTTCCATTACAATCCATCAACACTCTACCAAAATTCCACATAAATTTGCACGAATAGCAAGTCACAAAATCCGATCGTTCCAATCTCAGCTTGCTGAGTTCCTATGCTCAGCATATATCCTCAGCTATCTGTCATTGACTGGTAAAACTATCTTTTATTTCACCGATTCTGATCTTTTTATCTTCATTTCATATATGTATGTATACATTCAAACACACACACACACATTAGAGTGCAAATTCGTTGTATTTATACTATCAAAAGAAACATGAAAACAATGCGTGATATTAGAAAATTTGGTTTATAAGTTTGCAATCAAAAATTTATTCAACGAAGATGTTTATAGAGAAAAATCTTTAGTTTAAATGAATCATTAGCATGTGATGATACATCAGTGCTGCTTCTTTTATTATATGCATCGCGATGGTTTAGTTCGAACGTTCGTTAACGCTGAATTGTCATTTCAGACAAACTACATAAAAAGTATACCCATCATGATAATACTTTTTATCATACACTCACACTTTTCGCGGGTTTTTCCGTAATGAAATGCTGTTATCGCACACATCGACAACGAAATTTTCGAAAGTATCGATGTTAATTTCGCGATGCAACCACGCGTGTCTATAATTATAATCGGTATCGTTCAGAATGAAATATATGGTAGTTTAGGATCGGTATTCACTGAAAACTATCGACGAATCGATAGAAAACTCTTCCTCTGAAACTCACATCGCATATTCTAAACAAATTTTCAAACATACTTTAGTTTAATTTCTTCGAAAGCAATAACATTTTAATGAGAACCATTTTATCGGCGTTCATTTTATTTTTCTATTAGAATTATCATGTAGAATTATCATATAGAATTCGAATGTTGTCAGAATGGATTGATGTAGAAAGGAAAATTGTCCATTAAGTATGAATCGCCTTACAAACAAAAACTAACCAAACCCCAAATGCACCCTACAACATTTTCACTAGCTTCAATAATCACCCAACAAATACCACAAAAGTCTGCATCGCTTTCCAAACAACAAAAAAAAAACAAAACAAGAATTTCACAATCGAGCCACGTACATCGCATTCTAATTGCAAGGGAGAAAAACCATAAGCTTGTTTCGTACTCATATCCAAAAAAAATGGCTTTATATTTAGTCGAAAATATTTTCGACTGTTTAAAATACAAAAAAAAATAGAAAAAAAACTTGTTAAAATGGCCGTCAAAAAAAGAGTATTTACATTTTGTCATCCCTTTGTGGATTTGTTGAGAAAAAAAGATTTAAAACTTTTATGTACATAATAATTCATGGATGGCAATGAGGCCACGTTCGGCTTCAATCATTAACTAGTAAAAGTATTCATGTTACTTATTCAACATGTTTAAAATGCAATGTGAATTTTGAAATTGAAAAATTTTTGTAAATAGTAATCGACACGTTTAAGACAAATTATTCCGTAGAATGACACACCTGATTGGTTTTTCTTGCATTATATTATATATAAATCTTTAATTTCAATCGATGAATTTTCCAAAATCACTTGTTTCAGTGGAACTCATAATAATCCGCTTGTTTGTTATGTTAAGATTTTTCCATTATTATCAAAATCATTTTATCCACATACATTCGTATATCGTAACATTTCCAATGAACACACACAATTAGAAAGCCTTCTATTTAATAAACCAAAATTAATCGACTCTATTTTTTCTAATTGATTTTCACCGTTGGATATTCTAATTTGCGCAAAATTATAACGCTTAGATAAATACTTGAATTTGATTTTTTTTAAAATCCATTGTTTATTAGATTCCATGCTAAATGAAATTTAAGAAAAGAAAAACAAAGACGAAACATGAAATAGAAATAAAACGCAATTAATGAAACATGAACTCGTTGCATTTTTCAATCTTGTCCAAAGTCAAATTCACTCAATATGTTATTTTAGGAAGAGAAACGAAAAGGTGAAATGAATTTTCATGTCACTCTGTGTTATTTTATTCAGCAATTAAAAAGCTTTAAACTTCAAATTGCTATCCATTAGTTATCCACATGACGCATAGATGGCGGCCCGTGCAGTATGTAAGTATATAATAGAAAAACCGTGGTCAAAGAGCCCAAGAATATCGTTCATTAGATAAAACTCTCTCTCTCCATTTTTCGCTTTTCCATAAAAGATAATAGAAAATTAAATTAAATGAACTGATTTAGTTTTCGTTCGTGTAAAATTCAGCAATGTTTTCGAAATGTAAAGCGCAACGAAGCGAATTACGTGAACTGTCAAATCGCACTGACATTAGCATGTCGACGGGTTCGAGCAAAAAAATGACGTCTGCATTCAGTATGTTCAAAGTGACGTCTACATCCAGTCTACGAATGTGTACAATGTCAGCCTTTCGCTAAATTTCTTCATTTCTTCTTTTTGTTTTGTTGATTTTTGTGCGATTTACAAAATTGAATAAATTTAATAGCTGCTTCGTGGATTCAATTTAATTTCATCAGTACTGAACGGCAGCACATTTGCAATGGCATCACGAGGTGGTCCAATGATAACGGGTACAGACGGTGCTGATTTTGAGCATCGACAACGAGTTGCTGCACACTATCAAATCAGGTGATTTTTTCACGATTTTTATTTTTCAACCAAAAAAAAAAAACAAATTTCCACAATCCACAATCCACATTGAAATTGGTGAGGTTCAAAAGTGTTGAGTGCCTTCTTTTTTTTTATCTCGAAAAAGACGAAAGCAGTCGGAATTTAGAGCAAAAATGTGTTCGCCTGCAGTGCTTTCTCTTTTCACCGAAAATTGTGTGTTTTCAAGGTTCTTTCAAGTCTACAGCAATTCAATGTCAATTGTTCGCACATTTGCCTAAATAAATAGAAAGCAATGCGAAACCATTTCGACATATGATCAAATGAATCAATTAAATGGTTTCGAAATGTGGTGTGTGTGTATGTGTGCTTGTGTACTTGTGTGTGTGTGTGTGTGTGTGTGAGTGAGTGATTTTCGGTCGGTCCTGTGAAATGTCGAATTTCGATTTCGATACTCTTTCTAGATGCATGCGTGTGCACCGTTTCTGGTTTATTTTTGTGTTACACTCAATCTATTGTTGTCGGTTTGACTATAGTGTCGTCTAGGCGAATTATGATTTAGCGCGCGCAAATCGCTTAATTGTTTAGTTGTTTTTTCTTTCTGTTAGTTTGTATTGCTCTTCTTTCTTTCCGCTCTTCAATGAAATTCTTTTTACTTTCTTCATTGCAGTGCTCTGAACAAATCACGGCTCAAATATTGCATATTCTTTCACTTTCTGCTGTTCTTTGCGATGTTGGCCAAATTGTCTGCAGACATTTTAGATCGTTTGGATATTTTCATATTGGAAATTGAAGAGCTGCAGGTACCGGTGCCGCTGTGGTGGGAATACTTTTGGTGCACCTCGGTACTGATGTCGTTCATCGGTTTGTCAGCTGCCAAAGGCAATCGCATTAAAGACATGAAAAAATACGTCATTGGTTTGATTGTCACCGCTTTACTGCCGCTTCTCTATTGTGCTATTTACTATTTTTCGGATATTGTCGGCTACATGAGCTTAGATGAAGAGACTGACATTCAAGACACGGACATTTTTGTGTGGCGGGTAAGAAATACAGCATCCATATTATGCAATAGACCTTCTATATATCTGATTCAATTTTGGTGTCGTTTGAATTCATTTCACAGGGTAAACCATACGGACTAATTTGGTATGCATTTGTTTTGGTCGCAATTCAAGTGCACGGCATGTCCATATTCTTCGCATGGAATTTAATACAAGCCTGGCGATCACGAACTACTGCACGGAAGTTACAATAGACTCAATATGAACTTGTAAACGCACTGCACAAACGAAATCTACTTAATTTATTCGAAAGATGGAGATTTGTTCAACAGATATTAAAGAAAAATATTGTTTCAAAAAAATAAAATAAACAGAAAATTCGTGTATAATTGTTGTTGAATTAAAAAGAAAATTGAAACGAATCAATGTAAACGGAATAGTGTAAATGGAGACGCCTGCTAAATGTGGCTCAATCGATGTGCTTTTTCATTTCGATGGAGAAAATGTGTAACGGTGAAAATAAAAGCTTTCGATTGAAAATTGAAAATGAAAACAGCAACTGGTTTCACTTTTACATTTGGATTTATTAGATTAAAATGCAGTTACACTGGATGAGACTTTTGTTTGTTTGTTTTTTTTTTCTTTTTTTCTCTCTTGATATTTTCACTTTTCAATAACATATTTTACAGAGTCGTAAAATTTACACCCAGAAATTCATTTCACTTAACCTACTTTTGTTGAAATATATTTTTTTTTTCATTCGCCCATGACTCACTAGGTGATGGAACCGGCTTTAATTTGCTATGACCTTATAGTTAAAGTTGATTAATGTTAAAATCAATAAATGTGTTCTTTTTTGTTATTAAATTCCAACATCATTCACATCAATTCATTTTTTTTTTCTGTTAAATATGCATTATCAACATAGTATTACAACAAAATCTATGTTCAATGAACAGGTCCAAGCATCAAAATGAGAATGGTTTTGAACATCAGTCTTCCATAAAACTAATTACTTATTTTCAATGTCATTAGTGTGACAATGAAGGAACAAAAAAAATGCAAATGAACAAAAATAAATCGAGTCTATTCAAGGATACTCCTATTTGGTTTCAAACGATTTTTTTTTCTCAAATAGAATACGAATCATTCTGCCAATTCGTATTCCTGTACGTACTAAATTCCAATTTTTTCTTTTACACAAATATATACAATTCAAACCAAGGCAAAAAGGAAATTAAGGTAATTAAATTCGGAACTGGAGCCGTCAAGGAACAATTGGCAGTGTTCAATGATAACTCTGATCTGTTTGAATTTCAATTACGTTAAATTTTGTTTCGATACAAAACTTTTTGCCGGTTCGAAAGCAATCAGTTTGAATTAATTGTTCCCTCGCAGCAAAATTATGTAAACATTTGAAAGAGATGCTTTCTGTGCTAATCACTCAATCAAACGATCGACCAACATTTAATAGTAATACACTGAAAGTACCGTTTGGTTAGTATTTATTTCAAAATTATCTGATATATATGTTTGTGTGTATATATATAAACATTGATCGAGTTTCTGACCTGATCCAATTATTATTTGGTTTTCCCATGCAATCGATTGATTTGATGGTTGAAAATTTCATTAGTTCCCATTGAAACATCGAAATGTTGGTAATATTCGCTGTGAATTATGATAAAACAATTACCGAATGAAACTCAAAGTTCGCCATTCATGTGGCAAATTCTTGTTCAATACAATTGTTTCAATACACATGCTACGGCCACATACATATTATTTTGCTTTGGAGCGCCATTCAATTTTCGCATATTTGAAAATGCTGTAACAATCATTGTGTTTCATATACAGTAAATTCACCATTCATATGCTATTAATATATTAGTTAATGTATTTTGGTGCGCGCGGTATCACTTTTGAATAAATCGCTGATAGAATCCAATTCACTGCGAGCTTCGTTGTTGTAGACCACTGAATGGGCTGGTATGTCATGTGATATAGTCGATCGGCATATGTTCAATTAATATGCTTGAATTGTAGTCCCGAAAGATATTATAAATGGAAATGATGATGGCTACCAGCAGTGTATGCATTATGTAGCTTTTGTCAGCAAAATATGTTGATGTCCCAGTCTGCATTGCCTCCGGCCGCTCACCTAAGTACAAATAATTTGAAACAAACAGTGAACACACAATTTTGACGTGGGAAAGGGAAGAAGAACACTATATATGAGAAGTGACAATTATCTCACTCACCATGCAGAAAAACGTGCACTTTTATGCTAGTTTGGCTACCACCGGCCGGAGCGCATGTGTAGACACCTGAATCCGCAATATTTGCATTTCGTATAAGCAAATACGATGTTGTCCATTCGCCATAAATGCGCTTGATGTCAACGCTACCCCTCGGTGATTCTGCGGTTATTTCCTTGTGAAGTAGAAAAAAAAAGTAAAAAAACGCAAAATATTAGTGTAGCACACATAGTTCGATTTAGACGATGATGAGCTGATGAATTCAATGAAATATTCAATGATTTGACACATGGGAAATTCCAAATTAAGACATCACAACCTTTGATCTCTATGCAAATGAATATATTGACGCACAATACCAAACACTGTGAACTCTTTACCGATAACGTGGAAATTAGAATGCAATTTAATTCGGCGAATACTCAACGGATTCGTTCGACGTGAATGTCAAATGATATTTCGAGATAAACTTTGCATTTTCGTCGACTCAGTTGTGAACGCGGGAGTGTGCGTATTTGTTTGAGCTCATTGAATTTCCATTGACAGAAGGCAACCACTTTCAATTGGTGCGCATTGGTTGCAGATTGATTTTTCGTCAAATGAATTTGAACTTAATTACTGGTTGCGTCAGAAACATTGATCGAATGTGCGACAAGATCTAATTAGTTGATGGTAATTAAAGGATTGTTTTTTAGGCCCGCGAACGATGCAACGACGAAATTTGCATATTTTGAGTATGTATTCAATGAAGCGAGTCCCATTCAAGCTGTCAACGACAGATCTTAATTCAAAATGGTAATGCTATTTGCTGCAGTTTCCAGAACTATTCGTAATGACAGAACTCCATATTCTTAACCAATGTCGATTAATTACTACTATTTTACATGCAATTAAATACTTTTCTTCAGTAAATTCACGAATATTTGTTCGCATTTGTCAGAGATTGTGTCCCGATACCGTTTCTTATACCGAAATGTCAAAGTTGTAAATTTTCCTGATTAAGTGCGGCGCTCCGAAGCAGCTTCGGTTTTTGTTATTCGCCCGAGCGAGTGAAGAAGTAAATTTCGCTTACAGGCACTTGTTTTTTTTTCAATGGAATGCCATTCATATAATCATTTATGTTGCAAACATCAAAAGTCTTTTGTTCATCTTCCATTTCGATATTTAATTGCAACACTTTGTTGGGAATCCCGCGTGTTGACGCTTGTTTGCTGGCATCAAGTTGCATTTTGGAGTGTGGCATCAACGTTGAAAACATTTCAAAAGAGACAAATTGGAGCAGAGATAATTTATAACACATTTCCACGGTTCATGGCAGCATCGAAGCAAGATTAAATTATAAATTGAATATCACGCAATGTTATTTAATACATTTTGCCATTATTTGCTGTGAACGCAATGGCATTATTCATTCCTATCGGTAGCAGTGCTGTACGTTGAATGTGTGATGTTGCAGCTACATCTACTGTTGTCGAGGATAAATCTATCAATTCGACGACAAACAATCTGTTCTTCACTTCGTCACTCGAGCGTCTCAAGTACAGTATGGCATGGAATTACGCGAAAAGCTTTGAGAACAGAAGGAAACACAAAAGCCCATGCACAATGAAAAATAAATGAGCACTGTGAGAGTTTGCTACAATTGAGAGGCGAAAAAAGCCATATACGGAAAAATAATAGCAGTTCATTTGATATTTGTGTTTTGTACATGAAGCAAAAGACGCAAAAAAGCCCTTCTCTCGTTCTCTATCTCTCGCCACTTTTCGAAATGTAATAGATGTATTTGTTTTGTTTGCCTTTTTTCATCGAATATCGTGGCAAAACAGAAAAAAAAACAAAAAAGAAAGTGGTTGAGAAAGAGGCGGTTTGTGTTGGTTTTGCGTTTGTACCATGGAAACTGACTTGCAGCGGAAAAAAACACATTTCCACAGTGTCAAAGCGAAAATTGAAATGGTGTTTTGAAGGAAGCTGTACTTCAAAAGCAGACTGTGTTCGTTAGAAGTCGGAAGAAGAGAGAGAAGGAATTGAAACTGCTGCGAAGTAATAACCATGAAATGCGATAAAAGTGTGTCCGAAGTGTGCGAAGAGAATATCGTCGTGAATACATTGCAAGTTGCATTCCGTACGTTGGAGTGCAAATACAATGATTGCGCCACCGATTCGGAATCGAGTGTAAACATAAGATTTTGATTGCATGCCATAAATTGAAGAAAGGTTGGCTTTCTTGTTCGTCGCTACCGCTCCAAATGCAACCCAGCTGTTGTGGGTGATGCAATCAAGCCAACACTTACAGGCAAAATGCATTTGAATGCTCGCCCAGAAAATGTGAAATTCCCATTACAAATAAGTATCTTGACGTTATAAACAACTTGATGTTGTGTAATAATGAACTAAAAACGCACATGGAAACAACTGCTGTTGAGTCGAAGAGATTCGGCCAAAAGCGTGGGAAAAACGGGATCTTCTTTCATGTTGTCTATTCAGATTTAAATGACCGACACCAGACACTCACACTTTTGCACGTTGCCGTATACAAACAACACGGAAACGAAACGAAACGAGTCGAAACGGACGATCAGACAACAAAGTATCAACTTAACGGAGGAGCAGCCCAGCAAATGCAAAGAACAAAAGAAGCACTAAAATAAATTCAATCTCCGCAAACGATAATGACTAGCTATTTATATTTTCGTAGTGTGTGTGGCGCATCCTTTTCACATTCCATCTGCTCTAAATTCTCATTTATTTCGTTCATTTTTTTCTTTATTCTCTTCGTTGGATGTACTATGTGTGCCTGTCTGTGCGCGCACTTTTTTGTCGATTGTTTTGTGCAGAATTTTCAACTTTTTTCTCTATTCAAAATCATTTCCGTAGTGTTGATGCCGTGGCTGGTGTTATTGCCGCTTTTTTGCTTCACAAATGAATATTTATCTGCTTCATACATTCGGTTGTGGTTTCGAAAACACCCCAAAAATCGTCTGCAATGCCATTTGAGCGATTCTCTTTTTTCTCATCGTACTGCTACTGCTGCACTCATTTCAAAATGTACCGAACAAAACACGAGAAAGATTTTAATATACATTTTGCTTTTGTTTTTTCCACTCTCTTTCTCTCTCTCCTTTTCTGAGTATTTTTCTGCTTCTTTGTATATACCAAAATGGAATGGCTGCTCTTGTCCACAAAAAAAAATTCTCCATTTTGTTCTCTCAATTTTTCTCTGGGTTCTATATTTTTCATCGTAAAGTGCAGAGCTGCAGAGAATGCTTCACAAGCACAATGGTAACTGGCAACTATTTAAATAGAGCAAATGAAGCCAAAAAGTTGGCAAAACTCAGTAAGAAATCACAATTAATAAACTTTCGTACGGCGGGTTGACACCTAGCACAACCCATTGAAAAGAAAAATCCAAAGAACACAAGACATTTCAAACTTGTTCCTTAAATTGGCATTGCTTTCGCTTTGCTCTCTCTCTCTCTGCGAGTTGATTGTTGGCGATAAAAGTCTTTTAGCATTTAAACTTCGCATGAAAAATCAATCGAATAATAATTTGATAACAAAAATCAGTTTGTTGTGTATATCAATATGTAAATGTCAGCTTCAGATCACGTCAGCCGAGCGTTCGAATACTGATTGAAGTTTAATTGCCATAGTTTTTATCAAGTTCTAAAATTAGATGCAAAACTTGATGAAAATAATTTGCAGCAAACGAATTTTTCACCTTTTTGGTTTAGTCTACAAAATGTAACAACAAATGGATGCATGTAAAATATGAAGGGCCCGAAACTAGAATTTATGTAATCGTATGTTATGATGAGCCACTGCATCATGCATGAACCCGAACGCTCTAGGTAGATTATTAATTCAGTGTGATGTATGTCGTTCATCATCGTTGTGCCTGGTATGTAGTGCACATATCATTGTATGAGCTAATCAACTTTCAATGTTGCCAGGTTGATGATGAGTTTTTTTCCCTGCTCACATATCGTATAATAAACCTCGGATCGCAAACTTTATTAGAATTTCCATTAAAATATGAATGGTGCATCGGTTCGCCGTCGATGCGACTAAGAGCGGCGAATATTGCAGTGAAAATTAGATTGATTTATTTAGTAGGTAGGACAAAAAGCTGTTGAGAGCTGTGTGTATGCATGTGTATATGCACAGAGGATCTGAATAAACGTAAATAATGTAATTCGTTTACAAAATGCCAGCTACATAACGGCCGTATGAATTGATCGATGCTGATGAAATTGAAAAGCCTTTTACCTTCATTTATGTGACAGATGATAGAATCTCTTTCTCTTCATCAATGGTTTGATATGCATACAAAAGCCATTTTTGATGCGTTTTTCCGGGCTCGGTCAAAAGTAAACTTCCGCCAAATTGGCTAGAGATGCGGAATAAAAACAACCAGCGAAGCAATTTTAAAAATTAAATGGATAAAACATGTACGACATACATGCCAATTTTGTGAAAATGACACTTTTTTGAGGGTGACATTTTGTGACGTGTGCACATGTTCGTGGGTGGGTGGGTGGTAGGTGGTTGGTTATGCAAAAGACTTGCAATGAAAATGAATATTTCAGTACGTTGAATTGCATATTTGAGCAATGGCAACGCATGTGATGGAATAAATAGATTGAATAAAATCAACAACGGTGTAGAACATTTTGCCCATACTTTTCGCGAATTGCGAAGCATGAGCTTCACTTGCAGACGCGTTAATTAAAATGCATACGCATGAAATTGTGAAAAACGAAACGCCGAGCTATATGAATGTGTCTAGCCATCAACAAAATATTCAAATTCCCATTTTTACTAAGGGAGACTATTGAAAATACATAAAGAGCCCAACTTTTTTTTTTCAATGCATAAACTCGTGAATTATTTCCAACTGGAAAACAAACACTCAACTTTTCAATACCTGCTTAGTAAACAATGCTTATCAACTAGTTATGGCAAAGATTTCACACAACCAACCAAACAACCGACCGACCGAACAAACAAACAAACCAGAGCATAGTTCCAAAGAAATTAACTCCTTGTGGTGGGCAATTAAAATTGGCTTATTGGTAAACTTTTATAGTTTCAAGTTTGATGTGGCAGAGATTTCTCTTGCAACTTACATTGCCAACTCTCATCCGATTGTAACCATTTAGCTGCCGTACATTTCTTTGTGATGTGATACGTTCCAATGATTTGGTTGAAGCGAAAACCTATGATGGTTTTCTTGACTTCTTCTTCACAATAGTTTTCATTCAACTTTTTGCAATCTCAAGAAACCATAATCTTTTGAAGTACAAAGCGAAAAAGGGAAAACGTTTCTTGTGGCCTACCTCGTGCACCAACAGAAGAAGCTCACAAAAAAAACTAATTATATTTTGAAAACGAGTTTTCACAGTGGATGATGCTAACGTTTCTCTCTTTTACAGCAAATAGATTGGAAATTAAATGGAAATGTTTCAAATTTCAATTGTTTCCCGTAAATTGACTCCTTGTTTGTTTTTGAATGTTCGAAAAAGAGTTGTTCGTCATGTTTGAGAGGCGAAGTTTTTTGTTTGGCAAACCATTCTATGCTTGACATTACATCGAAACAACGGCAAGCTGCTCAAATAACTTGATCTTAAGCTTTTACAATATATGAATAGTTTATATTCAATTAGAAAAAGCAGAAAGAAAGTGAGTGAAAATTCCATAAAAGTTTTTCTTATTAAACAATTCCGGCTTAGCGTAAACGAAAAGCTACTTTATCCTTTTGCACAGACAAACGTATACATAATAAACGATTTAATTTAAAATTCCTTCCGTAAGCCCAGAGTTGTTTTGGTGTTTTTGCAATGAAAGAGCAAAAAATCTTGCGTCCTCTTAAAAGCTTTTCTCCCTGCCACTGTTCTCTGCAATTAAATTGAATTAAAAGACGGCATACCATATGCGTTTGCAGCAGTGTTGATGGTTTTACGACGCACTAGTACAGTGATGGAATTTCAAGAGTTTAATCCATGAGAATGCGTGAATGCATGTGCTGAAAAATAATCTTAACCTAAACAACAGCAATTCGAATTCTTAGGAATTGATACGGCAAAAGTGAATAACTCTTGAATCAGCAATGAACAGCAGAAACGAAAAATTATGACCAGAAAATAAAACGGCGAAAAACCTATTGAAATACTTGAATTGTGTAGATGTAGCGACGTGAAGTGGACCAGAGCGACCGCATTGTCAACGCTAAGAGCACATAGGCACACACACACATAACTCCGAACCAACAATAAATGGATCCTTTGAAAAGGCTTATGTTAAATGTATCGTGTGAATGTGTGCAAACTGAATGTTCGGTCGCTTCGCACTGCAACTGTATCTCATTGAATACAAACTTCAAACGCACACACTTTAAACGGCAATATTTCCATGGCGCACTTGATGCGTGTGCTGTGTCATTGTGAAACCAATTGAAATTGTAATTTTGGCATTAAGTTTCCCCGGCAGTCGTAATGAAACTGAATATCTTTGAAAGTGTAATAAATTTTCTTCTGCTCGGCAAATGTCTTTATGTTTGTTGAAATGTGTCGAGATGGTTGTGTCTACAAGTGGGTACCGATGGACTACATTGCCTGATACTAAAAATTGCGTTTGAGTATGTGTGTTTTGTAAATATTTGAAACGGAAGAACACGACAAACACTTCAGAAATAAGCACATTCGATGTTAAACTCTCATATTTATTTAATGACGCACTGAACTTAACGAGAAATTGGAAGAATGTCGCAGATTTCCAGGCAATTCAGCCTGTCAACGGGATGCCACTTCTTCTGATTTATATTTCCGAGAAAAAAAAGGTCCATTTGTGTACGTTGGCTCCATCCCAAGTTGGTGCTGGCTAATCGAATGCACTAGCATTTAGTGCTGTCGATTGCCACCTATCACGACCTTCGTGCTGCTTCCTGAGCGCAGCACCAAAATTTTCGAAATTAAGATCACGTAATTTTCGTAATTTTCGACATTTTGTATGGGAGCAACCCAAATGGTTGATTTTTTAGATTTCACACATAGCCTTTAATTTAGTGTTATTTTAGTGCTGACAATTGACGCCTACCATTTTGGTGCTTCATTCCAGCCCCAGCACTGAACTCAAAAAGAAAATTTTTCTTGTCATTTTTGTCTTTCGGTAAGATTCCGTGTCATCAGCACCGCCCAGGAATGGTGCTCTTAAAGCATAATTAATGCTCAAATGGTGCTATTGCAATTGGTCTCATGAATAGTGCTGCTTGGAGACGCTATCATTATTTTTTTTTGTTGCTGTACATTTAAATTACTTACCTTATTCTCATGATACCAAAATATGTGTCCTGGAGGCTCGGGCCCAAATCTAATTGTACACGTCAAGTTTATTGTGCTTCCCTTATCGACAAATAGATCTTGTCCGCCCAATATCGTGGCCACGGGTTCTAAAATAGATTGAACGAAAATAACCATTTTCATTAGTTTTTTTTCTTCTTCACTTCGTAGAAATAGAATCCGTTTCGAGTTATTTAATTTGTGTGGTAACATGCAATCTTCTTGTGAATCGACATTCCCTTGGTGAAAACGTTAGTCAACAAAAGCAACAAACCATGAAATATTTTTAGATCAATTTTATGGGAATACATAAAACATTCTATTTCTCACATATGGACAATGGCATGAATGTTATCGTAATCCGTCTGCAAAGTGCAATGCCAACCGAGTGAACACTATTCTAGCTTCAATGGATAGTAATGCGATTACCAATTCAATCAATCATCTTATCCAATGTTCATCATTTTTACCATTAATTTTCAACGATTCGATGCTTTATTGGTGGCTCCAGTTCGGGCTTTCTTCCTCTCTCTCTCTCTCTCTGTATATGTATTTGTGTTTTGGCTTGGTAGAGATGAGCAGAGCATCCAGGTATGTTTTAAAAGTACACATTTTACTTATTTTCGCCCTTTTTTATGACTACATCCGAACAAGTTTATCGAGATGAAGGTTCTCTGTCTTGCTTTTTTTTTCTTTTTCTTGCTCGTTTCACTGAATGAGCACTGTTTATTCAGTGAATATATAAAAAATGGATGTATTTGGCTCGTTGAAGCTTCGATTATTATTGGCCATATTCAAACGTAAGTACCTTTCGCATTTCCATTGCATCGCATTTTGTTGAAGTTTATCTGGCGAGCAATGCTCTTACTTCCTTTCGCATTCTATGTTTTTATGCCTGCGGAATATTTTATTGAATATCTGCATTCTCATCATAACCGAATATCTAATTCAAATTTTGAGCACAGAAACAACTCAAGCATTATAAACGTTTGCATCTACAATGTACCGGTGCCTGTCGTAAAGATGGCCCGATATTCTACATACAAAATAAAAAACTAAATATAATCGATGGATTACCCACTTGCAAAACGGGAAAATATCGTCGAACCAGTGCCAAAGAACTCGATCAGAATACATAAATTTTACGCATGCGATTCGAAAAAGTGAAGATAAGACATATACAATGAAACTCCTTCTTAAAAAAAGACTTGGAAGCAATATTTGAGTAGAGTAATTTTTTGTGTCACTTATAAAAACAAGACGACAATATAAAAAACGGGCATGATGGAACAATTTATGGTTTTTTTTCCCTTTCATAGTGACAATAAGGACAGTCGAAATAACAACACGAAAATATCAACCGATTTTTTATAGCAAAAGAAAGCTTAATGGAGTATTGCAAATTCAATGGCCCATCATAGCACCAAGATTCATATTTTATTTGAACATTTTATGTCGAAAATTCTAAATGAAACGATCTGTTTCCCCAAAAAAAAAATCCATTACCTTTGTTATTTGCAGCGAAATGCTCAATACGCTTTCCAGCGAACAGCGATACATGTGGAGAGATGTTTTTACCAAGATGTTTTCTTCATATTTTCTTTATAAGGTGCTTTATTCAGTGCACGTACAAAACAGAATGATTGAAAATATTGAAAGGCATTTGAATGATTCAAAGAATGAATTTTTTCATCAATTTGCTCGTTCTTTTTCATAGAATTTAGCAAACAATTTTCATTCAAATGTTTACGTTCATTTGGAGATGATATTCGACAACATCGAAAGAATGTACCATTGGTATTTATTCATTATTTTTTTCAACGTAAGGAACTGCATCGATAATTGACATAATTGATCAAATTGTAATTCAAATCAATCAGTTGTAAACGATTGGATGGTAATCAGACATTCATTTGCTGAATATAATTCAATGAATCGTTCGCGATATAGTTGGTAAATATCTCTCTAAGCCTACCAATCCAGAATAATCTAAATCAAATTTACACCACACATTTATAAATGCATAGACATTGTATTGTATTGACACATACCTGAGCCCATCCAGTTATCCATCAATAAGACGAAATAGGTAAGCAAAGCCGTAAAGGCATTGAACATAATTGAAATAGGTGATGATGATAGGTAATAGAATGCTCTTAATAGCACATTGGCAAAGCATTTATGTAGAAATCGATAGAACGCTAGCCAAGCATTCTAATCCGAGTCTCTTCAGTTCCGAAATTAGCTTTTTACAAATTAACGATTATTTTGTCCCTAATTATATATCTATAAATAAACGTAAAGCAAGTATAGCAAAACAAATAAAACGAAAGGAAAATTTCACACTTCGTCAAACTGATCGGTTCGGCTATAGAAAGTATTCCGTCAAACTGAACAGGTTAATTTGAAAGTGTCAAACAAAATCAAGACTATAATGAATTCGGTTGCCTATAGAACCAACAAACACAAACATTGGCATACGATGCAATAATTTGAAATCGTCTGGCTGATTGTATGCTACCCATTCACAACTCAATGAACAGAAAGAAAGGCATTCGTGCCAGACAAACAGAATAATCTATATTTATGGCAAGTGAAATGTGATAGATGTGATAGATGTGCTTCCCTCTCTAGCAAACATATATTCCATTGATTGCATGCCTTTCCGAACTGCCGAAATTGTCAGAAAAAAGTGGTTGCCTTTTTTCTGCCGAAACTGAATAAACTCGTTGTAAGCACATCGAAGACGTTCGAACGAAAATCTAATCGAAACTTTTGGAGTTTGGCCGAAGTTTGAAATTGATATATTTGCAAGGATACAACCAAATTGAAGAGTTATTTCGATGATTTGATTAGTTTCAAATTTAATTAAATACTTTCATTTCACTTGTAGACAGCCGTCGATCGAATATTTGCACACAAGACAAAACAGAGAATTATTTTTTTCACAATAAATGGCGGTTATAAGCATAAGTTCTATAGGATTATAATTTTTCTTCATAAAAAGTATTTGCAATTTAATTGTTTATGCTGCTTCAAAATATGTAAACTTTTGATCGAAAAAAGTGTTTATCAGAACTAAATATTGCAAAGAAAAAGTATTTTTTCTTAGATCAGCCAATTTGTAATGAATTTGTTGTTTTACGAGAAAAAGACGCCGTTTTGTCTAGATCATTTATTTCAAAATGTTTTGATTGATATTTTTATTCAAGAAATTGCTGATTATTCACTGATAAATCTAGGAAGTTATCTGTCAGAGCCGAGATAAACTACAAAGATTTAACTAAGTCATTACCGTACATGCTCAACAATTCCTTCAATATTATCCCACTCAAAATAGCTATGACCAATTAGAACAAATTTTATCGAAATAAATATTTTTGGGTTAGATTATTTGATTAAATAGTTTCAACAAATTACATTAGGAATAGAATTGAAAATCAGTTGCGAAGATGTATAAAAAGTAACATGGTATTTTCTAAAATCGGTGTCGATGGGCAATTAAATTAAAATTTTCAAGAATAAAATGCAGAGTAATAAAATTGAAGGTTTTGATGTTTCAATGGAATAGAAATCCGACATTTGCAAAAATCAGTTATACTCAATGAAGATAATAATGATATAAAAGATATAAATAGTCGTCAAAATGCATTCCAATCTAAGCAAACCAAACCTATTTTATAAAAATCAACCACCTTTCATCACGTTTCGCACGAATTTCCATGTTATTTAATTTTAAAAAAAATGGTTAAAAAAAATCACATATTGCCATGACAAAATCAAAAGCAAACCAACCAAAATTTGTGCGAATGCCAATGAAGTGTGGTATAAAACCGGACGAAGCAAAACAAAAAAGCCATGTATCGCATTGAGAGCGATTTTTCATTGACTTCGGTTTCCATTAATGTGGTTAGAGGTGGAGCTCATCAAATGCACAGACAGTCCGTAGCCACATATCAAAATATTTATGCGAGAATTGCACACAGTGAACGGCAAACACATGGCTGAAACTGGGAATTCATTATTCGTAATTTAGCTAATAGTGATGGCCGAGTACATTGTGTGCAATTTAAGTTAATATTGCATGTATGTGGCTCGATGGATGTTCGTTAATTTACGAACACACATAAACTCACTCGCACTGACCGATAGTCCTATAGCACGTTGGCACTCGACAAATTCGAGTAAAAGTTTCCATGGCAAACACGGTTAATTTGTTGCATTAAATTTTATATTGAGAGACACGGAGAGAAAGCGAATTAAGCGCATGCAGTTAGTGTTTGGGAGAGAGAAAAACACAGGTAATTGCGTAGTTAGCCGTAGGTTCGAATAGTTTTCCAATTTGAATGGAGGAAAATCGCTTGTTGGTAAATACGACTGTTTGCTCAGCGTTCAGTATCGTTTTTTGTTCACATTGTTTGACAGACGGACGGACGGTGTTGCAACACCAATTGTACAATTATTGCCACCACAATCACTCAAATTCAGCATTTCGCATTCTCATTTTCATTTACACTCGCTCCTCCAGCAGAATAGTCACAGTCGTATTCTGTTAAACTCCAAATTACACGCTTGTTCGCTGGCAACAATGTTAATTTATAGGAAAACTCATTAAACATAATTGCTAAGTGCTCTCACTTATTCGATGATCATCGTCGCTGCCAGCGTATATACCGTCACAGCATTTATGGTTTTGGATGCCATTTATTTCGTCATCGACATCTATTTGCTGATCATTGTACACTAAATTCAATATGTTCTCGTCGACATTATCAATTGCTGGATCTAAAAAGATTTTGGAATCATTTGCGGAAAAAAATGAAATGAAAGAAAAATATGAAAAAAACAAGAATAAAGAAGAACCAATGGAAAAATGGGGCAAGCAGATAGCATGTTTGGCCTGGAGTTAGAGTTTTAATTGCAGCTTCTCTTAATTACCTATGTGACCTGAGCACGCAATTGCTCGCTTAAGAACCGGTAATTAAATAAGTCTTATTTTAAAATCAATCCATTCTGGAATGGAATTAAATCGATTTATGTCTGTCAATTTTCCGTTTTATTTAGCCATCGCTGGATAAATAGTTGAAGTGTTTCCGATTAGCGGAAAACCAATAGAAATGTTGTATTGACACCTAGACTGATGGCAAAGCGATACTGGAATGAAGGTGGGTGTTGAGCTCTAGTGGAATGCTTAAAACTATCATGATAGGTGTGTGTGTGTACTGTGTATTGCATATGGACCGTGGATGCACTTACCAACAACGTTCAATCGCACCGAAAAGCTTTTGATTGGTATGGTTGAAATTTGGCATTCGTACACACCAGCGTCACGTTTTTGTGCCCACTTGATTTGCAGCGTCCACTCGTTGAAATCACGATGATATGCTGTTTGAAATCGTTGATCTGTGGTGTAAGTGTACGTCCCAACTGTCAGAATGTGGATGTCTCTGTGCCTGATCCATGAGACCTGCGAATGATAGAGTTGATGAGAGATAATTTCACTTGTTCACTTAATTCAAAAAGATGTGGAAATTAATTTTAAAGCAAAGCGAAAATAGCCGCCTGCATATGACAACACTGTTCCCAATGGATACCGCATCGGCACACACATGATTTTGTGCGCCAAGCCCACATTTAGCACGGTTGAATGGTCAAAAGATGTGCAAATGCAAAAGCGACACGTCGCATGTGTGCACCATAAAAATTGCAATCAGTGTCGAACTACTAAAAGCTTGGGCGAAAAATTTGTGTGTCCATCCGTCCAGCGTTCATATGCAGCTTCAGCAGGTGAAGAGCTGAAACAAAGAACAAATCGAATAAAACTGCGCCCTTTTTTCGAAGCGCATCCACACCGAAAAGATAAACATTTATTTATCGTCAGCACCGCAGCAACCGAACGTTACCCCACTCGGTCGTGCATTCGAAAAACTGAACACCATTTTTCATGATTTTGATGTGAGGTCAACCGCAGAAAACTATGTCATTCATGTAATTGCATAAATATTTATCTCGAAAGCTGGCTTTTTTTCCCTATCCTCTGCCATCGTAACTTCATATCCCATTTTATCATAGTTGTAGCCAAACAATAACCAAACCAACAACCATATTTTGTTGTCGGTTGGCGTGTGAACGATATTTTTCCATTTATTACAAACAGAGAGAGAGAGAGTGTGTGTGTATGTGTATATTCGCATATTTACAATTTCAGTGTGGCACTTTGCGTCTGACATTGCAAATAAATTACAAGAAAATTAAACCCGGTGCGTGTGTCATTTCAGTGTTTCGGAAAGCGAGAAATAGTAAATCTGCAGGTGGATTTGACATGTCATAGCTGCGTGAATGTGGATACTGAGTGTGAGCGTGTGCCCATAACTATCAATGATGATTAATTGCTCAGGTTGCATATTTGTCGTCGTTCAAATTATCCGGAATAAACAAATTTATCGCTTCCATGATAATAATAATAATAATAATCGTAATAATATGATTTAAATAAATGAGTTCTCAAGTTGGTGCGTTATAATTTGTGTGTTTGTGTGGATAAAAGTGAAAGTGATTAATTAAAAATGGATTTTTGGCCCATGATACAATGATACACACAGAAAGTAATTAAACGTAATCAAAAAAAGTACATATTTCAATCGACACCGCTGCCCCGTCACACCACAAAATCCATGTAAATGCGGAACATATGATTAAAAAATAAACTTTAATTCGGGATGCCACAATTTTAACGTGTTGTAAATTATATTTAATCATAATAATTAGCGTAATTTGTATTTTCAATATTTTCACTATCTTATCAGATGGTCCAATTATTTGTAGTTTGAATCGAGTTTTTAAGTGGATTTCCGGATGTTGTGGTGGCCATATTCAGTTTTAAGGTGTCAAAAGCACATAATTACTTACCGTTTTATTGCCCAAATTGCGCACTTTGCAGCTTAAATACGCTGATTTTCCCACAAGTGCGGACACATTGTTCGCTATACTATTGTCGAAGTACGGTTCATTCCATTTCGATGCCGTAATTGAATTATGTGACGGAAAATCGGTGCTCGTATCGTCAAATGTGTTGTAGCCAGTATCTTTCGTACGTTGATTCAGGAACGCATTCGATACACCTGTAATGTAAATTGAAAAACATAACTTAGTAAAAAGGGGCGAGTCATCTGTTTCATTTCGTATTTTTTTTTGCCTGCGTTTAATTTTTCATGGCCCGTAGAAACTATTTCAAAGTAATTAAAACTTTTCTTGTCTCTCTCTCTCTCTCTATTCGTCTCTCACGTTTTTTTGTGTCCAACTATGCAAGCGTTCTACTGTGTGCTGTTACAATCTAGAAATTAGCATTCGTTTCATTTACATGAAACAAAGCGAAATGTTTGCTCTTATTTTGCATTTCTTAAGAGGTGTGTTTTTCGCTTGTCAAACATCCTTGTACGACTGTACAATACATTCATCTGTGAAAACTATTTTGTAGCTCAGTTAATAATCAAACCATAATTGAGGCGATGTTCACCAGTTCGTGCGACGCTGGAACAAAATAGCAAATAAAAGCACTAAATATCCACCATAGTGAAACCAACTTTAAAAATGAGCGCAACGAGAATGGAAAACAATGCCCCGATGAATATACCAAACATGTATCCCACTTGATCCCGTCGACAAAAACGGAATATTTTCTGCTTTTTTGTTTATGATCATCATGAACTATAAATAACAATGGCAACCGCACCATCCATTTAGTGCAACACAAACAAGGAAACGAGAAAAGTTCAGCCCAACCGATAGGTACGTGCGCAGCGAATACGATTTTCTTTCGTATTGGCAATGACAATGGTATAGCAACAGAAGTAGCAGCAGAGTAGGATTAGGAGAGGAAAAACTTGTCGCACAAAAATGTTAATTGCGTATGCCATTGGGTGTATATTAATGTATGCACCATGGAAACACACTCGTCGATTTCTTCTTTTTTTTTTTATTGGACTTTTCTATTTTTGCACTGGTTTTATTTTCATTCCGACTATGTTCTAAATAGTAGATTTAGTTGGAATTTCGAAAGTTTCTCGGAAGCAAACTAAGTGAGCTATTTTAAACGGCAACGATATGTTGTTCGTTGTGAACGATTCGTTAATGCATTGTTACAGGCTGAATGTCGTTTCGGGTCAATTGATATCCAAACAAACGAACATCATCAAGACGAATGATACCTGTGTTCGCACCACTTGAGCTAGATTTATGAATGTCATGGGATCAGATCTAAATTTCCACTGCATATAATCCGAATCCATTTGCCTTAATCATGAAAACAAATTGGTATATCCTCCATTTAGGTACTCGAATGACATTGTCGAAAATGAAAGGAGTAAATGGGTGACGAATCGAATTTAAGGAAGAATATCATCGAACATCACGTAGACATTGGCATAGAGAACTGAACTAAATACAGAGCAAACGTGTATCATAGGCAGGTTGACCGCAGGAGATCTGTGTAGTTCGGATTTGTTACGGACTTTCATTCAATAAATCAGTTTCTTTTTTTGTATTTCCATTCATTAGTTAACTAATCACTCATTTTCTTCCGACTTGAATTTGGGAATTGTGTTCAGTGTCCCCGGGACGATCAAAAGACAAAATCCCGGAAACATGCAGTGTGTTTTAATGTTCGTGTCTAGTTTAGATTAGATTTAATTTGATGCCTATCGAAAACATGTGGCGAAACCGAATACAGACTTGTGTCTTGTGTATCACATGCAGACGACGCTGACATTTTGGGCGACGAGCAAGATGAATAGAAAATATAATAAGCGTTGACACATTTTCAGCGAGAACAAAATCACACCAGCGGCATGACACTATCATTTAGCCAATATCATTACCTGTGTCACGTTTACACGCGCGACTGCTTTCGCCTCACCCTATTCACCATTTATTCGAGTTACTTTGACACGTCTTCGACTCCCATGTTCAACATATACACGCATAATATTCGGTCGGTGTTGAGTGAGGATATTTTCACAAATCAGACGCAGCACAAGCGGCGGCTGCCACCAAAATGGCAAATAAATTGAATTAAGTGAACGATGTTTGCTTAATTCATAATTAATTTATTATTAGTCGAAACGTGAAGAAATCAGTTGATTGTCGTTAGTTGCGAATCTTTTCTTTGCTTTCCTTTCCTTTTGGGTTTCCATCATGGCACTCATTAATTTAGAACGGCGGCGAAGGAAGAATGCAAAAAAGAACTTGACTCTGTTTACAGTGGAACAGGGGACAAAACAATGGGAAAAGAATTGCCTTCATGCGGTGTGTGTGGCGATATGAATTCAGTTAATTCTTTTTTTACATGGGATTATGTATCGCCGGTGGCAAATGTCGCTCTTTTAATCAGTAGACGCGCCTAATTAGTGCTGACAACCGTTGAGTTCATCACGGCATTTGCCTCATCATGGTTTATTAAAGTGTCGCGAGCGGTGGGTACAGGGCAAATCGTCCGTTGCACACAAACTGCACGTACCCGACTGAATTAGCAAATCAGAACACGATTTTTTTTATTTGCCTATCACACTCTCTTCAACGGTTTGCCTTCGGTCGGATGGGGGAGAAAAAATAATTTCAATGTTTATTGCCTGATGCACAGTAAACACAAATGAAGGGGAAAATGAATTTATATGAGAAACGCAAATATGATGCAGAGCGTGATATCATGCAGAAATCAATTTGAAATTCTCTAACGTTCACTTCCGTGGGTCGAAACTGAACAGATAAAATAAAATCCATGCTGCAACTGGCTCCACTTTATTATCGAGCTCATGCTCCTTTTGTATTTGCTTTGCATCGCCAGCTGATTCCGCTCAAATATAATTAGCCGTGTGACACACACACAATTTCACACAATTTGAAATGTCATGGAGCAAACGACGAGAGGAACGAGGAGAGAAAAAAACGCTAGCAAACTTATATTTGTGTTCGTGGTTATATTTTTATCTCGGTTGCCACTTTGTTTTTGGCCTTTAGGCTTATGACTCGGCTATTTAAGTCACAAGCGCGAAAACAACGCATAAAATGTTCTTCGGTTTTCTCTCGTGTTTTTTTTTTCTTTTTCATTTCATTTTACTACTGCCGCCGCCGTCGTCGTTGTATTCTGTTTTGAGTTTTCCATTGTTACGGTTGTCCGCGCTACAAATGTAATAAATTAAAAGACGATATCATCGTGGCTTTGTTTCTGTCTTTTCCCAATGCTGCGTGAAAGCTGGCGCTGTGAAAATAAAAATTATTACAACACGTTGGTCGTACGCCACTTATTTATCTTTCCGTATATTTTTTGTTTTTCACTTCGCATTCACCCAACGTTATGTTATTTAACTCTTTCACAAATGCCGCATTAACCACATTCCCTCCTCCTTTTTTCTCATTCCTTTAAAAAAAAATGCTCGATCTTTTTTCACTTCTAGTATTTCACAATATAGCATTAGATTTTTTTTCGATGGGATATTCAAACACTTTCATTAGCCAGTGTGTTTACATTTCTTGCCGTTTTATTTTAGTGTCAGAGCTATGAAACGTCCCATCTTTGTGTGCATTTACGCAAGCACTCCTTGCTTCACAATGACACTATATAGATATTTTTCATGTTTTTATGTTGCTATTAACAAGTCTCAAGCTGAATTAGTGGCTTGTAAAGTGCTCAAAGAATTTGAGCGACGCGTAGGAGCCCCACTCCGATCTGATCTCAAACAAGCCAGCCAACCAGCAGCCATAAATTATTCTTTTTCATAGTTTTACCTAATGACGCTGTTCAATCATAATCAACATTTTAAACGCCTTTTATGTGTGACTAAATCACCATCATCAAATCACTCACATAAACGTATTATTATTTTCGATCAAGTTCTCAAGCGTTTTGTCTACTCAGCTCGCTTAATTTTCTCTAATACTTGATGATGAGATCTTTTCGGTGTTATTAATTTTCGTTGCAATTTTTCACACACTTCCGAAATATATCTGTCAGCGATTGCACTTTGATGTCCTTATTACCAGCAATTTTTCATTCGTAAGCGGACACATAAAACTCGTTTAAAATCGATTTTGGTTAGGTCGACGGGAACTTTGTCATCAGTTGAAATATTCACATGAAAGAATTATCATTTTTTTTTTTTTAATTTCGAATTGAGACGGTTGGAAAAATGTTCGGCGTATTTATATTTTCTTTTTTGTTCGTCTTCGTCGTCGTCGTTAAAAGATGATTTATTTGAAGAGAGTTGAAATATTTGATATTTTGACCAGGTTAATGTTAGTCATAATTTTTTTTCTTTGGGAAATCTTGCTCGTACTTTATAATTCGGATCGCATTAAACTAAATCGAAATTTCCGCTTGAAATTGACTAATTGGATTTTCAATTCGATTTCATTTTAAATTCATCATAACACAACCTTTTGGAATTTTTACGTTCGTTATCTACGGAGCACCAGCGCGCTCTCTTTCAGTGCACTTTTTGCACAATCGACAAAGTCAAGTTTAGTAGAGGGAAGCCTCTTTTGCAGTGGGACTGAAGCATCCAGAAATGTTGAAGTGCCGACGAGCACCTCTGGTATTTAGTGCACCGTTTTGAATATTTAAGTGGAAATGCGACTGCACTACGTGGTCATATTCGTTTGCGATATCAGTTTTATTTGCATATTGGATTTTCGCAAGAAAAACATACCGTATTCGGTGTATCTTCGCATACAGACGGTCTTCTCGAGTGTGCATTCACCATTCTTTTAGCAAAAACATTAAATAAAAGGAATGATTGCATTCGATTCGATTTTCCAGCAATGAAAATTCATTTTGTGAATTTTATTTGAATTCCAATAAGTTCGATTTATCACATTTCGTTATATGTTCAGGTTTTTTTTTACGATCTGCAATGCATTTCATATTTTATTTTGGAAATTTCTCTATTTTTAACGATTTGCACTCGATTACTTCTCTTGTTGAAAATTTATGTGATCCTCCTCTTGAAGTATCTCATTCACATTTGCTCACCATTCAACTGCATACACTTTGAATTTTTATTGAGTGCTTGTGTGGATGGGGATGTGAATGTATTTGTGTGTGTGTGTGTCGGTGTGTTTGTGCGTT